TTTTTTTTTTTTGATGGCGCTTCATGAAGGATTGGCATTCTAAAGAACATGCATTCACAAATGCTTCTATAGAGCTGCAGGCTCTGATTTGCAGGGTTGCCTGTGTGGAAGGTGCCTCCTGGCCAGAAGGACTGAGCTGTGTTCTCGCCCCAGTCACCCACACCCAGGCCTTATCATCTGTATCTGAAAAATGAGGTGGTCGGACTAAATGATCATTAAGTCCATGTTTACCTCTTATATGCTGCGATTCTAGCATCGTTTTGTTTTTATTTTTTAAAAATAATGTGGCTTGACTGTGGAAGAAATACACTGTTATTCCTAGTAGAGCAGAGGGCATGAAGTCCTCAGATCAACTTCTGGTATTTGTAAAGGCTGAGAAAAATTCCAGGTCCGGGGGCACCGGCACTCCGTGACTTTCCTCTGTCGGAGGTGCGGATGACCTCACTCGAAACTTCATGCTTGACTGTCCAGTACGGCGGCACGGCCTGGGCAGGTCCCCGCCCCCCGCGTCCCAGCTGCCTCTCTCCCCCAGGTTTGAGGCCATCCACCACGAGCTGAACAAGGCCACAGCCCAGAACAAGGACCTGCAGTGGGAAATGGAGCTGCTGCAGTCGGAGATGACCGAGCTGAGGACCATGCAGTTAAAAATGGCAAAGGAGTCGGAGAAGTACAAGGAGGAGCGGGATGCCGTGTACAGCGAGTACAAGCTCATCATGAGCGAGCGCGACCAGGTCATCTCTGAGCTCGACAAGCTGCAGACCGAGGTGGAGCTGGCCGAGTCCAAGCTCAAGAGCAGCACGTCTGAGAAGAAGGCGGCCAGCGAGGAGATGGAGGCACTGAGACAGGTGGGTGTGGGGCGGCTGGCCTCCCGCCTCGGGGAAGGCAGGGCGATGGGGGCCACGGCATCCGCACTGGTAGCCTCCTCCTGTTTGGTCTGCGTGCTGGCTGAGTTATCGAATGCGGTCTGGGTAGCTGCTGAGCTCACACTTGGGGCCCGGCTCTAGCGTGCCGCAGAGCATGCAAAGGGAAGTCTGGCAGTGGTCCGGGCCTTGGAGCTTAGAGCATAGCAAGAAAGTTGCAGGACATGCACAGACAAGCGTGGGCTCCGCTCACAGGCACTCTCACACCCAAACCCTTGGTTAAGTGATTGTAGATCAGCCTTGTGTTGATGGTCAGTGTGTGTCTCAAAGATTTGCTCACTGAGAAGCAGGATCCCAAGGACAAGGGCTTAAAGCCATCCATACCTTTGGCCTTGTGAATTCAGGAGAGCACCCTCAAGGATTTTTTTCCCCTCTACATCTGAGGAGTCTGCTCTTTAAAGGGATCATCTGGACTCCGGCTGGGAAGATGTGATAGTAGGCTGAGCACAAGGCCCTTCTAAAGCCTTGCTCCCTGGGGCACATGGCCTCCAGGTTCAGCTGCTAGGGGTTGAGTAGCATCAGAACTGAGCCAGAAAGCTTGACTCCTGAGTGATCAGCAAGGAGTCTCTACATCTTTCCTACCTGAGCCACCTTGGCCTTGTTGCTAACACATTTTTCCCTCAGGTTCATGTGTGCGCTTCTGGGGCTTGTGTGGACTGGTGGACTCCTCCTATTTGAGATTCCCTTCCCATCCTGTTGGTTGGGAAGAGCTGCTGAAATTGATCACAGCAGACTTTTATCCCCTTGAAATAGTTCTCCATTCCTGCCTCTCCATTCTACTTGCTCTGCAGCTCTGTTAGAATGCAGTCTTTAAGACTGGTCTGTGAGAAGAGAAAAGCAAGGTGTTAAACGTCGGGCAAGTAGGCAGGGGCAGCATGCATTAGATTAGTGTACCCAGCGCCCTCCAGACTGAGCATGAGGCAGGGCTGATGCCTGAGGGGTGGGGCAAGGCCTGTGAGGGTCTCTGCGGACAGTGATGCCTCCTTATGCCCAGGCGGTGCGAGGGGCTGTGGGAATGCAAGGGACAGGGCCCTGTGCTTGGAGAGGGGCGCTCCTCAGTCATGGGACCTCCTACCTCTCTGGGCCTCAGTTTCCTCATCTACAAAATAGAGACAATAGCAGTGCCTCACAGGGTAGCTGTGACAGTCCAATGGATGCATGTGGAAAACACACTTAGAATGGTGCCCCGTAAAGTAGGAATGATTTGAGTGTTTACTTTATTGTTAAGATGATTATTATGCCTGTCTGGATCTTACTGCCTCTTGGGACTAGGGTGAGCACTATGAAGTTGTTTCTGTAGGCAAAAGTGGGCCGGATGGGAGCAATTTAGTATAAGGGGGGTGGGGTGGGGGCTGAGACTTATCCAGGCCGTGAGGACGAAAGCCTCATGAAAAGGAATATCTACTTTGATGAAATTTTTACAAGACCATGATGAAGGAATTTTTAATAAGCACAGATAACATATTAGGACTTGGGCATTGTGCCAGAGAAACCATCCCTTCGCTTTTTCATTCTGGTATCTGAGAGCTTAACTGTTGGGGGATGTGGATATTAAAGAAGGAAGACAAAACGATGAAGAAGGAAACTTTGGAAGTGACTAGTCAGTCACTGAACGAGAAGGTCCAGGAGAATGTGTAAAAGGCATGGAAGGTGGTAGGACAGCAGCCCCCTCGAGGGGTTTTCAAGGTTCTGGAGGTTAATGGTGCTCTTGTAGGGGTGTGATAGAGCTCCCAGTTTCCCGCGGTGCCAGCAGCTGGTGGCGGTCTGCCGTCCCCCCCTTGCTCCCAGCACTCAGCATGCCCTTCGGCCTGGAGCCCAGTTTCTGGGCCTTCGCAGGGGGCATTGGCTGGATGCCAAGTCTGCCTGTCAGCTGAGGCAGGAATCTAGGCACTGTTCCGAGTCAGCGGGCCGGACAGGAGAAGCTCTGCTCCCGTCCCAGCAGCTCCCAGAGCTGAAACGCTCCGCTCCTTCTCCAGTTTGTCTGGCTTCTCAGACAAGACCACTCCCCACCTGGCCAGAGGAGGCCAGGTCTGTGGCCTTGGCGGTCCTGGCCTTGAGGTGCCGTTGGGAGGATCTTATCTCCCCCATGGTCTGATGAGGCCCCTTGGGATTGACCCCGTCTCTGTCCAGCAGCCGCCTCCTGGCAGGGTCAGCCAAGGTCGGCCTTCTAGCCAGGCTGCCTCCCTAATCTCGGAACTGTCTTCATTGTGCTCAGCCGAGGAGGGGGTTCCTTTTCTTTCTGACAGACTGTGTGTTCTCTACACTGTTCCTTTCTCTTTGTTCCTCCCTCTTCACTGACCCTCTTTCCTCGCTCACCTCACCCCACCCCTGCCTCTTCTCTGCCTGTTCTACCCTCTTCTCTGGAGTGCATTTTGTGGTGAAAAGAGGGCTTTGGGGGGCCTGTTAGGGTCTTTGCCTGGCTCTGGATGCTGCCCTCTCTGCAGCTTCCCCCTCCCTGAATGGCCGTGTCCACAAGGGCCTCCCTGTCTAGGGCTGCTGCCCCAGCCTCTGGCCGCTGGCTGACCAGGTCCCGTGAAGGCTCGCTGCCCTCAGGATGGGAAGGAACTGCCTGGGGCAGCTGGTCCTTGCCACTGGGAAGCTGTGGGCACCGCTGCCTATCACAGAGGTTCTTCTAGATGACAAGTTATGTCCCAAGACCAGCCTCTCTGGCAGAGCTCCTGTCCCATAGAAAGGCCAGCTTGGTCACTCAGGCTGGCAGTGGCTTCCCGTGTCCCTGCCTTCCTGCTGTACCTCTGACTTGCAGTATTGTGGAGCTGAGCTCGGTGCGGGGGGACAGAGTGGGAGCCACGTGTGACAGGGGGAGGAAGTACTGTTGGACAGGGAGGACAAGCAGGGGAGCGGGAGGGCGTGCCAGGAACTTAGAGGCTGTCACATGTTGCCCAAATAGAAGAGACCAGTGTGATCAGGGCGGGCTGCCCGCTCGGGGAACATTGCCCTCTCCCTGGACCCTGGTGAGCCTCTGCTGGGTCTTTCTTGTTGGCTTCGTGCCTGGCCCCAGTGAGTGTCTCGTGAAAGCCAGTCCCTCTCTTCCTGAGCCTGTGGCCCCATGCTCCCCCAGGGCGGACAGGAGGTACGTGTTGGGGGTGCTGTGGCAGAGTAAGACCTGGCCCTGGCAGGCACAGCACGGTGCAGAGCAGGAAGCCCTGGAGTGGCCATGGGAGACCTGGGATGGAGTTCAGCTCCTGGCTGATGGGTGGGACCCGGGACCAGTCACTTCCTGGGCCCTGAGCACCCTCATCCGAATTATCCGGGGACCGGATGAAGGGACCTCAGCTCCCAGCTCTGTTGCGCTTTTAAAATACTCCTTGTTCTTCTCCCCTCTCAGTAAAACCAAGTCTTGTGCTTCTTGTGTTTCTCACATGGACACGGTGTTTGGGGAGCGAATTCATTTTGGAGATGAACAATTGGGGGAGAGGGTGGGAGCTGCCTAACACCCGGGGCTGGCCTCCAGTGTGTCACCTCAGGCCAGAGTGCAAAGACCTTTCCGTGGCACCATATGGAAACACACTTCTTATATCAAACTACTAACATATAAAACACCGAGTAAAGTGTTAATTTAAGTGTTATCGTTAAACCTACTATTTATAATAAATTCTTGACATCTTTAATAGCAGTAACCAGTTTTCAAAAAAATGGCAAACTAGACAGACTCCCAACACTGCATGAAAGTGGGGAAAATCAAAACCGAAGTGCTTTGAACTGATGTTGGGAAATGTGAGGTCTGAGCACGAGCATACCAACCACCGTGTCACTCTGGGTTAAGGTGTACTTTCTGTGCAGACTTTTTTCCAGCTTCTCCTGGGTCTGTACTCGAGACAGGAGGGGTGATTGTGAGATGGCTCCGTGTACTTTCCTTCCTTTCCTCATCCTCGTCTGTCGTCTGAACCTTTGGGATCTTTTTGGACGTGTCTATCAGGGGCTGTGCGTCCGGCTCCTCTGCGGAGGGTGAGCCGTGGAGTCCGCAGAGGCCTTCTTGCTGTGTTTGTCGTCTTTATTCTTTTTGCAAAGAGGGGGGGATTCCCGGCACAGACATCAGTGCCTGCCTCTTGTGTCCTGTTTGTACTTTGCTTCTGAAAGCCCTTGAGCCGAAGTGGGATTCCTCCTGCAGTAGATGCTCACTGTGTCCTTTGTCGTTTTCCCCGTGTTTTCTAAGGGTTAGAGAGACGCAGAGGGAGCTTTCTACACGAGAGCTTCCAGGCATTTGACTTGAAACTGTAGCAGAGCATGTAATGCTTTGAGGAGGTGTCAAGATGCAAATGTTTCAGATTTTGGCTTTTTAAACAAACTGAGAGACGCAGGATTTCACCAGCAAAGATGCTGGTATATGTTCAGATTTAAAAATAACTCCATGTGCCGGAGCATAAAAACCAGTCTTGCAGACACAGAGGGTTGGGAATTATCATGATCGACGTCTACACCCTTCACTGCAGTCAGTCCTTGTGTCGTTATGTTTTGACAGGAGAGCTCTTGAGAGACACACGATGTGCGATGTGAGCCTTGCGAGTGGCAGGGGGGAGGAGCCTGGAGCAAGCACTCCAGGGGAGGCATTCCACCTGCGCCACTGAGACCTCGGCCACACCACACAGGGGCTGGGGTTCTGGTCCAGGCTCTGCTCTGTGGGGCTGGGAGAGCTTGGACTGGACCCTACCTAATGTCACTAGGCGTCTTGAGTATGGCTATGGGACATGGAGTCACCGGGGGTGCAGGTGCATGCAGGGGTGTGTTGGGATGGGCTCAGGCTAGGATCCCATGTTTCCCTCCATCCAGCTCCTGAGGGTTCAGCCCAGCCCCTGCACCGGCTGGAGGGTGCTTCTCACCCGAAGGCTCAATAACTGCCCCGTCTGCTTGCCCCTTGACCCCACCAGATGAAAGACACGGTGACAATGGATGCTGGGAGAGCCAACAAGGAGGCTGAAATCCTTCGAAAGCAATGCAAGGCTCTGTGCCAGGAACTGAAGGAAGCCCTCCAGGAGGCGGACGTGGCCAAGTGCCGGCGGGACTGGGCCTTCCAGGAGCGGGATAAGATCGTGGCGGAACGGGACAGCATCCGGTACGGGGAGCCCCTGGGCTGGTGTGGGCTCTCATCTCTCCACCATGCTCTGGGTCTCTGGGGATGGTCGGAGTCACTTGCCACATGTCCAGGTAAGGTGGGAGTGACCGTCGTTCCTCCCTTCTCACCTGAGGTGGTGCCCCAGCCTTGCTTCATAGCGTTAGAAGTGTCTGCTGCAACCTAGATGTCTGCATGTGCGTGGAGACTGGATGAGACCCTCCCCCTGCCATGAGGTGGCACAAAGACAGGGTTTTCTCTTAGGGGACTTCTGATGAAATGGACATATCAAAAATGCACTCTTTTAGTTGGTATTCTTTGGGCACCTGCTGTGTGCCAGGATGGTGGGTCCCTCATACAAGGACACCCTGGGACTCCCGGACAGGTGTGGTGCCCTTGAGGGGCCAGCGCTGTGGGGGCCACGGCAGCTTTGTCGGACAGGGCAGCAAGGGAGGGACACAGAATGGTGAATTCCAGGGTCACAGTTAGAACTGTGATGGGGGCTTGCAGGGCACTGGGGGAACTGGTGTGGAGTCTCCCCAGAAAGCATGAGCTTGAACTGAAGCTCGAGTGGAGGTTTTCCAGGTGGAGGAGGGGGATGGGTGTTACAACCTGAGGAAACACGAACAAAGGTGTGTGGTTTACTCAGGGCAGGGATATGCTCGTGGACTTGGGGTAGTCCCAGGAGAGGTGGCTGATGGGGTTCCTGAGGACAGGCTGTAAGGGCCTCGAAAGGGAAGCCCAGGAGCGTAGCCTTAATTCTTGGCGGGGGTAGAGCCACGAGGGGCTATGGTGGTGCTGGTGGTGATTTGGTCATTGAGAGTTTGCGAACGATCCCTGTGGTTAGAGACTGACGTCTACCCGGGCTGCTCAGGAGATGAGGGTTCAGGATTGGAGGGATTGGGGGCCATGGAGAGATGGGGACCAGCCCTTAGGTGCCATCCTATGACAGGATGCAGTTCTGGAGGTGACCCAGAGCACGCGCTCCCTGGCTGCCAGGTCACCTATCCCTACCTTCTCTGAATGGCTGAGGTGGTGCTGGGGCCCCAGGAGCCCCGCATCCTTTGGTGGGGAGTTGTCAGGCCTGCACTTTGCACTCACCTGCACAGAGACTGCACAGGGCTGCAGAGACAATGGAGACATGATTGCTGTCCGAGTGGGAGGCTCAGTCTAGTTGCAGGGTGGGGGACAGTTCTAGCAAGGCCTGCATGGGGGTAGTTATGAGGCTTGTGGTAGGTGATGGGATAGCAGGGCCTGCCCGGTGGGCTGCGGCTGGGGCTGGGAGTGGGCATTCACCCAGGCACGTTGAGGGCAAAGCAGTGGGAAGAGCAATGGATGTTCAGAACCCATTACCCAATAACTGCGGAGGTGTCTCCTTCCTGGTCCTCAGCGTCTTCTCTCTCCCTGGATGGGGTTGGCCTGGGTGGTCTCCCGTCCAGATTTTCCAGCACTGCTGTGCATTTGGAGGCAAGGCAGGCACCTGGGGTGTCTGGGGGATAGGCCGTGAATCCTCTGCCCCCTTGCCCTCACGGTGACCTTGGCCTCTGCCCTGTCTGCCAGGACGCTCTGTGACAACCTAAGGCGGGAGCGGGACCGGGCAGTGAGCGAGCTGGCCGAGGCCCTGCGCAGCCTGGATGACACTCGCAAACAGAAGAATGACGTCAGCCGGGAGCTCAAGGAGCTCAAGTATGTTGGGGCAGGTGCCTGCGTGGGGGGACAGGGTGGGCACCTGCCTGGGGGTGTAGGGGCCCCTCTGCAGGCAGGGCAGGGCTGTCTGTCCCTTCACTGTGCCTTACTCTGTCAGCCTGTAGAATGGGTCTGAATGCCACCTCCATGCTGAGAGGTGATTAGACATTCTTAGGCCATCACAGAAGATGGCAGCCTTTTTGTGAGCACATGGAGACAGACTTTGCACACCGTGTGCAAAGGTACATAGGAGGGAAACTCTCTGTTCAGAGGCCGTGCATTTGGGGACAGGCATGCATGTACTGTCCATTCATTCATGCATTCATTCATTTGTTCCCTTTCTACCTCATTCATTCACCACCTCTAGGATTTACCAAGCGCCTGCTGTGTATGGGCCAGGCCTGTGGGAGGCCCTGGGGGAGGCCCTGGGGGAGCTGAACAGAGGACCAGGTCTCTGTCTGTGGGGCTCACAGCACACAGGAGAGACAGACCACCATTCACTAGTCTGTTCTGCCTGTGTCGTGCGGATGCCCATGTGAGAGAGACTGGGGTGTCAGGCAGCCTCCCCTCGGTTATAGCACTGCACCCAGGGCTGTGATTCAGGACATGGTGACCCTGAGCAATGGACTGAAAATACAAAGATCAAAGTTAAAAGGAGAGATTGGCAGAACCCAGGAGCTGTCACTGTAGGGTAGAACAAGGCTGTCCTGAGAAGCAGTGGCTGTCTGTTGTGAGAAACTTGCTCAGCTGATAGAGCGGTATAGGGTGGTGAGGAGCATGAGTGTGAGTGTGCAAGCCTCGCTTGCTCGAGCAACGCCTTTCACACGGAGTGACAGCTTTCCCTCCCTCCCCATTCAGTAACCTCTAACATGAGCCAACCAGCTTTAGTTATTAGATGAAAACCCAGAACCTCTTGGGCTTGAGTACTCTAAAGAAAATCTCAGGGGCTAAGAGGCAAAGTGAAGCACTCTCTCCAGAGACCCACCTTGGGTCTAGCAAGTGATGGAATCAAATTAAGGTAAAGCCTGGCCCCTGGGGGCTTGAGCTTGGGAGAAAGTTTTGCATTTTAATTGAGCTGGAATTGCCTGGAGCTTCTAAGGAAGTCAAATTCCACTTGTTGTTCTGCACGTTTGAATTTGCACCTCCTCTTTGTTATGCTTTCTAACTGGTGCTGCTGCTCAGGGACCCCCAGTCTGCAGAGGCAGCAGACATGCCCCGGCGGATGAGAGATGAGCAGGTGCAGTGAGCATTAAACACAGAGCTTCAGGCTGCACAGGGCTAGTGGGGGTCGTGTCCAGGGAAGAAGACTTTGGGGCTCTGCCTTGAGTCTGGGTGGCATTCTGGAGCCGGCCAGTGAGAGCACAGCCCAGACAGAGATGTGGACCTGCAAGCCTGTCCATTTGAGAAGAAACCAGAAGGAGGTCATGAGTATGCCCCAGAGCCCAGTAGGCAGTACCGATGAACTGTAAAGGCTGGGTGCGGGTTTTAGGACAAAGGGTGTCAGGTGCAAGTTCCTGGGGGATAGTACAAAGTTTCTGAGTCTTTTTTCATCTCTTAACTGGGTCTTTCTTAGAGCTTAAGTGTTTGTATATTGGTCAAATCCAACTTACTGATTTTTAATTTCTAATTTTTTAATTTTGTTGTTATGTTTTTATTTATTTTGAGAGAGAGAGTAGGAAAGGGGCAGAGAGAGAGGGGAAGAGAAAATGCCAAGCAGGCTCCACGCTGTCAGTGCTGAGCCAGACTCGGGGCTCAATCTCATGAACTGTGACATCATGACCTGAGTCGAAATCAAAGGTTGGATGCTTAACTGACTAAGCCACTCAGGTGCCCCAATTTTTAATTTTTAATTGAGTGTATGATGTCTAAGGACCCTTAACGCTTCATCTCAAAGATTTTCTCTTGTATTTTCCTTTTAAACGTGTTACAGCTTTATTTTATACATTTCAATGTGTGATACGTTTGGAGTTAATTTTTCTGTAAGATGTGATGTGTAGATTGGGGCTCAGTTTTTTTTTTGCCATGGGTGTGCAGGCGTTCCAGCGTCACTGGTCAAATGCTTTCTTCTGCTGAAGTATTTTAGTACCTCTCATACTTTGTGGGGGTGTTTCTGGATTCTTCATTCTGTCCCAGTGATCTCTGTGTCTATCTTCCTGCAATTCTGCAATGTCTCAATTACTGTAGCTATAAAAAAAAGTCTTAAAATCGAGTAGAGTGATTCCTCCCACTTAATTTTTCATTTTCAGAATTGTTTCAGCTATTCTGATTCCTTACCTTTCTCTCCCTGTGTGTTTTAGAATAATCTTGTCTGTATCCACAAAAAAGTGTTGCTGGCATTTCTCAAGGAATTGCATTAAACCCTGGGTTAAGTTTGGGAAGACTTTGATTGTTTTTTGAATAAACCTCCATGAAAATGCCTTGATAGCTAAGAAGCCTTGGCGTGCGGCTCCAGATTTATTGGGAAGCTGGCAAGGAGTGTGAGAGGGAGAGGAACCTCCTTTGGCTCTCACGGTGGCCTTCTTGCCTTCTGAGCTGTGGCTTGGGTGGGATGTGTTGCCTCCCTGGGGACCATCGTCATAGCCCTCTCTGTTCCTAGGGAGCAGATGGAATCCCAGCTGGAGAAGGAGGCTCGGTTCCGGCAGCTGATGGCGCACAGCTCCCACGACTCGGCCATCGACACAGATTCCATGGAGTGGGAAACGGAAATTGTGGAGTTTGAAAGGGAGACGGTGAGCTGCCCTGATGTCTTTACTCCCTTTGAATGGGGGGTGGGAGAGGATGCCCCCCTTGTGGGGTTCCCCCATTTCTCGGCTGTCACTTTGAGGCTTCGGCTTTTCTTGCCAGGGTGTGTGCATCCTTTCCCTGCCCTTGTCCAAGCTGGGATGTGACAGGTTGGTGTCCGTGGCCCCTCCAGCCACGGCTGGAGACAGTGCATGGAGGGCAGAGGGCAGAGCAGGGCTCTTCTGTAGGGACGTGTGTCTGCAGTAGCTGGAAGGGGCACATGGCAGCTGCTCCGGGCTTCATCCTGTGTTCTGAGTGCCCCATCAGACATGGTGAAGGAGCAGTCCTCACAGAGAAGCAAGTGGCTTGAGGTTTCAGAGTGAAATGTTTCTAATCACTGCTTTATAAAGTGTGTGGCTACTGCTCTTTTGACAGGAGGATATTGACTTGAAGGCACTTGGGTTCGATATGGCAGAAGGTGTGAATGAGCCTTGTTTGCCGGGGGACTGTGGGATATTTGTCACTAAAGTGGACAAAGGAAGCATTGCTGATGGCCGCTTACGGTAAGAGTGGAGGAGGCCCAGGCTCTGGAGGGAAGGGCGGCCCTCTGACCCAATGCAGGGGACCCAGGGAGTCAGGTGGCTGTTAAGTGAGTGCACCCCAGGGTCTGGGGGACTCGAAGGCTCAACTGCTCACATTACCCTTAAAGGAGACTCTGTGACTCATGGGGGCCTTTGCGTCTGACCTTTCCACAGGCCCCAGGTGCTGCCCTTCACTTTTCCAGGTAGGAAAAGGCTCAGGCAGTATGGGTGAGAGTTTAGGATGTGCGTTGCATGCCCATGCCATGAAATAGCAACGAGAATAAACTACCGTTTGCTAAGTGCTGGTTTAGGCCCCTTGTGTAATCAATTCGTTAATTTTTAAAATCCAGTGAGGTAGGTCTGTACTCTGCTATTGGCCCCATTTTACAGATGAGGACACCAAGGTGTGGAGGCGCTAGGTCACACAGCTAGTAAGTGGTAGGGCCAGGATTGGCACCCAAGCAGCCTGGCCCCAGCATCTGTGAGTGTAGCCATTTGAGCCTGCTGAAGAGGAGATCTTTCTGAATGTGTGTGCGGGGCAACCGTCTTCTGACACTCATCTCCTCAGACTAGAGCGGTGGGGCCTCCCCACTGGTCCCAAGGCCTGAGCAGGTGCTGACCTGGCTGTGCCCCTCCTCAGGGTCAATGACTGGCTGCTGAGAATCAACGATGTGGACCTCATCAACAAGGACAAGAAGCAGGCCATCAAGGCCCTCCTCAACGGGGAGGGGGCCATTAACATGGTCGTGCGGCGGAGGAAGTCCCTGGGCGGGAAGGTGGTCACACCACTGCACATCAACCTGAATGGACAGAAAGGTAGTGGGCCTGCCAAAGTGCACAGAGCACATCAGATGGCGGGGCAGACCCCTTTTTTGTGCAGAGGGGATGTTTTTGAGTTACTGATGCCGTTAAATGCAGTGCGTGTGCATCCCTGGCTGGGGGCCACCCGGGTCCTGGGTCTTGCCGGTTTCTGGGTGTTTGATTCACCAGACCAGACGTCACTGAGCCTCCGGGTGGTCTGACCTGGCCCGGGTGTTGGGACGGGCAGGTCGCAGTCTGTGAATGTTCCCTTCTGAAGGGAATGTTGCCTCCTGAAGACAAGGTGGGAGGACCAGAGGGCCCTGTGAGCGGCGTGGGGGTTAACTGGATATTGCCCATGTCTGCCCTGTGGTTCACAGACAGCGGCATCTGTCTGGAGAATGGAGTATATGCTGCTGCCGTGATGCCTGGAAGCCCGGCCGCCAAAGAGGGGTCCCTCGCCGTGGGAGACAGGATTGTGGCGGTAAGCCTCAGGGCTGGGCTGTCTGCCCCACATAGAGAGTAGATGCGATTTGAGAGATTGAACAGGAAGTAACGAACAGAGATTTTATGTTAACCTTGTTCGTTAAATGGGAACAAACATTTTTTTTTCTCATAGTGTGTTTCCATTGATAGTAGAAAATCAGGAAATAGAAACTTTAGGAAGAAAATAAGAATCCTAATTGCTACCACCTATAGATAACCTTTATGAACATTTTAAATGTATTTTTCTGTAGCCTTTATTCTGCACATGAATCTGTATTTAGGTCAGTTTAAACAAGATATCATCTGCATGTGATTTTTTAAAAAATCTTATTAAACAGTATGTCCATTACTTTTTTTTATCACCAAAGTAAGACTTATGTGCCATAAAATAGTTAAGCAATATAGAAATGTAGAAAGTGGTAGTCCCCTCTTTTCCTTTTAATCCTGCTCCTGGAGATATTCTTTGCCCCCACTTGCAAGATGTGCTCCCAGCAGACCGTATGTCTCTTACAGATCTATATACACAGATAAAGATTTCTGGTTTTTGTTTGCTTTTTTTTTTAAAATTTTTAACGTTTATTTATTTTTGGGAGACTGAGAAACAGCACTAGTTGGGGAGGGGCAGAGAGAGGGAGACACAGAATCTGAAGCAGGCTCTAGGTTCCGTGCTGTCGGCACAGAGCCCGACATGGGGCTCGAACTCGAGCTGTGAGATCATGACCTGGGCTGAAGTCAGACGTTTAACCAACTGAGCCACCCAGGCACCCGAGGTTTTTGTTTGCTTTTTAAGCAAATCATTTTGCGATTCCACATCATGGATACCAAATTGATCCTCATTACTTTTATCTACCTCATGGTATTCAGTTGTGCAGTAGTTTAAAGCATGCCCCCGTTGTGGACAGGTACATTGTTTTGAGTTTCTGCCATTGCAAACCACCCTGCCATGAACTTTACCTGTGTGCACAGACCTTTGGGGGACACCCAGTGGCATCCCTGGTGATCAAACCCCAAAATGCTGTAAGATTACAAAGTCTAATTTAGTATTTCTGACTAACTCATTAAGATTGAAGACACACACACACACAATCCCAGCTGTATAAAAGATGCACATGATGATATCCTTTTTCTCTGGTTCTAGACTCCTTATCTACCAGTTCCCATTATTCTGTTTTCTTCCAAAAATATTCAAAACATTTATATCTCCCTCTTTTTTCTTTTGTTTTCTCTCTTGTTTTCTTCTCCTTTTTCTTTTCTTTTCTTTTCTTTTCTTTTCTTTTCTTTTCTTTTCTTTTCTTTTCTTTTCTTTTCTTTTCTTTTTTCTTTTCCTTTCCTTTCCTTTCCTTTCCTTTCCTTTCCTTTCCTTTCCTTTCCTTTCCTTTCCTTTCCTTTCCTTTCTTTTCTTTTCTTTTTTCTTTTCCCTCCCCTCCCCTCCCCTCTTCCCAGGTGTGATCATAATATTCTCACTTGCTAACCTCATTTTTTGTTTCCCACAGCGTGCCCTGGAGATTCTTCTGCATTTACATCTTTAGATCTGCCTAGGTCATTTCAGTAACTGCATATTCCTTAGGGGCAGCTGCTCAAGCCATTAACCAGCAGACAGGACACCTTTTCAGTGCAGCAAGGCTGTTGCTCTGTCCCTTCATGGGGGCCCACGGGGTGAATTCCTGGCTGGGGGATTGCCGGATCAGTGGGCATAAGCAGTTAGCATTTGACATGATCTTTTCCCATGTGGTCAAGGAGATCGTGGCCTTTTTGATCCCACCTGCAGTGTGTGGGGAAGTGCATTGCTTTGCATCTTTGCCAGTGTTTTTCAGATTTGGGGGGATGCCAGAATTTAAAAGCAAGATGGCCATTGTGAAAAATGATAAGATGTGGAAAAATTATGAAGAAAGAAACCAACCAAATTAATCCACCACTCCAAAATAATCACTCTGCCTATTTTTTTAACTTTTGATTTTGAAATGATTACAGAAATACTTCAGTTATGATATTAAATAAATAGTATTAAAAACTAAATAAAGTGGTGAAGATAGTACAGGTGGGGCCTATGTATGCTTCATGCAGTTTTCCCTAATGGTTATGTTTTGCACGACTATATAATATCAAAACCAGGTGATCGATATTGGAACCGTGTGTGTTTATTTCCATGTCATTTTATTATCATGATTTAAGTGGCAAAAAATTTGAGCTACAGAGCTGTTCCACCGGAACAAAGATTTCCCTCCTGTTACCCCTTTATAGGAACATCCACAACCCTGCTCTCCACACCCCCCATACATAACACCTGGCAGTTAATTTGCTCTCCATCTGTATAATTCTGTCATCTTGAGGACATTATAGAAGTCAGTATGTGGCCTTTGAGATGGGCTGGTGCCATGCATGGCACCACCAAGCATGGTGCCATGAGATCCATCAGGTGGCTGGGGGCCCCGTCAGTGTGTCCCTGTTGGTGCTGAGCAGTATCGCATGGTCTGGTGGCACCCCAGGCTAACCGTTCACGGTTGCACATACGTGTGTTTTAAAGATTGGGACACATCTGAGAGAAATGGGGACAGAGGTTCAGGCCTAAGGGATTGTGAGAATCTTTGTGAACAGTTCACAAAGGCCTTTCACACCATGATCTCATCTTCGGTCTCCTCCCGCCCCAGGGGGCAGGCATGTTCATCTTCCACTCTGTACGTGAAGGAGTTCTGAGCCGTGGTCCTTTGTCACACAGCAGGCAGCAGTGGAGCCTGGTTGATCCCCCAGGATGCTTGGTGTTCTGGTCCCAGTCAGACAAGCACGAGAGTGCTTGCCCCGAGAGCAGTGCCCCTAAAGTGATTGTAAGGCTGCGTCTTTTCTTTGCCTCGGAAGCCGCTAAACTGGATTCCTCAGGCCTTCATCAGGGAGGGCCTGTCTCTCCTTTGCTGACTCCAGACTTGGGCACCACTGGTATAGAATCACGCCCACTGTCCAGAATGGGCTGGCAGAGGCCCTGAGCTGGGGGTGGGCCTGACAAAGCTCTATGTTTGGCCCTAGATCAATGGCATTGCCCTGGACAACAAGTCTCTGAATGAGTGTGAATCTCTGCTACGTAGCTGCCAGGACTCCCTGACCCTCTCCCTCCTGAAGGTAAGGGCCCCTGCCCCACACCAGCTGCTCTCATCGGCTGCGGGGCAGGCAAAACCTCAGCTCCATACACCCGAGCTGCTGCTCTGCATCCCTGGGATCCTTGTATAAAGGGTATTGATTTACAGAGTGCAGGATGTGCATGAACCCTGATCCTGGTCTCAAAACAAAAATGGGGCAACTGAGTGGCTGAGTCAGGCATCCAACTCTTGATTTCAGCTCAGGTCATGATCTCACGGTTTGTGGGTTCGAGTCCCGCATGGGGCTCTGTGCTGCAGCACAGAGCCTGCCTGGGATTCTCTCTCTCCCTCTCTCTGTGTCTCTTCTCTGTTCTCTCTCTCAAAATAAACTTACAAAGAATTTTGTTAAACAAAAACAAAACAAGACAGCTATGAAGGACATTTTGAGGACAGTGGGGGACATTCAAATCTGGACTAAATAATTAGATGATCTTAGGAACTTGATTTTCCTGGGTGCAGTGATGGTATTGGGGTTTATAGAGGCAAATGGCCTTATTTAGGGGACATGCTAAGGTTGTTAAGGGTGGGATGTCATAATATTTGTCACTTTCAAATGTTCTGCAGTATGGATAGATACAGTTTGGTAAAATACTGTTGAATCTAAATGGTGGGTTTATGGACATTTGTTGTACTTTTCTCTCAACTTTTCTGCATAGTTGAAAAGATTTATAATAGAGATTGAGAAAAGTGGGCCCATCCACTTCACTGAGAGATGTTTTTAAAAATTAATTATCTTTAATAGACTTTTTTGGAGCAGTTTCAGGTTTATAGAAAAATTGAGCTAGTACAGAGAGTTCTCATATTCAACCCTTCTGCTTCCCCTGTTAGCATCTTGCATTAATGGGGTTCATTTGTTGCAATTGATGAATTATGATGAATTGATGTATATATGACATATATATTTAAACGTTTATTTATTTTTTTGAGAAACAGAGTGAGTGGGGGAGGAGCAGAGAGACAGGGAGACACAGAATCTGAAGCAGGCTCCAGGCTCTGAGCTGTCAGCACAGAGCCCAATGCAGGGCTCGAACTCATGAACCATGAGATCATGACCTGAGCCGAAGTTGGACGCTTAACTGACTGAGCCACCCAGATGCCCCATCGATGAGCCAATATTAATATAATAGCATTTTTTTTAAGTTTATTTTTTTTAGTAATTTCTACACCCAATGTGGGGCTGGAACTTACGACCCTGAGATCGAGAGTTACATGCTCCACCGACGGAGCCAGCCAGGCGCCTCTGTAATAGTATTAAAGTCCATAGGTGAAATGAGGAGTCACTCTTGGTGTTGTACATTCTGTGGGTTTGGACGTGTGTGTCCACATCATAGTATCATAGAGAATAGTTTCACTGCCCTAAAAATCTTCTGTGTTCCTCCTAGTGCTCCCTTCCTTC